CCGGCCCTCGCCCCGCCGTGAGACCCCCCCGGACTGCGCCCATGTCCGTGTCTATCCGCAAGGAGGCAGCCCCGTGCACCCCCCTGCTGTCATGCACATCCCTCCACACGGCCCAGGGTACCGAGCAGCCCCTGGTGCTGGTGGACCTCAAGCATGTCACCATGTCCCCTATCAGGCATTCAACAGCATTTCAGCTTCCTGGCTTTGTGCTGCACCTGCACCCAGGGGCTGTGGCACAGGGACCCCATGGCCAGGGCAGGAGGACACCACAGCGTGGTCCTGGGGGACCTCAAATTCCTGTCCTGCCGACAGACATGTGTCCAGTGGGGTACACCACTCCCCGGCAATGCTTGTGTTTGGGTGCAGAACAAACAGCTTGGTTTGGGGGTCTCTGAAACTGCTCCCCAAGGCAGGCAGCACAGGGAGCCATGGCCAGAGCAGTAGCAGAGATGCCTGCAGGTGCCCCCGGGGAATGGGAGACAACAAAGACCCCGGATCCCTGCCAGGCCCAGGCCACCTTGTTCTGCAAAGAGACATTCCTATGGGGCACCCCAAGGGGCCCCAGCATGAGAGAACAGCTGGTGGCAGGAGGCTCCCACTGGCAGTGATGCCATCGTGCTGTCACTGCACGGGGCCCAATGAGGGCAGGGACTGAGCCCGAAAAGTGCATGGTGGACCTCTGTTTGCGGGGCCAGCACCCTCCTCCATAGGGCTGGCACCCTTGTCCAAGGCTGACACCTTCCTCTGAGGCTGGCACCCAGGGTTTTTTGTGTGTCTGTATCTTCAGGGCGTCACCAAACCAGGGCTCCAGAGGCGGCCCCTAAGCAGCCAGGTGGGTGAGAGCAGACACAGGGACTGTGGGGACAACGGCAGGACAGGCAGGGGACAGGAGCAGGGACAGGAGCAGATGACAGCACTGGGGAGGAAACTCCGAGCAAGAAATGAGTGACTGCAGTGGTGCAGTGGGCGGGGGGGGGCAGGAAGGGAGGAGCGGGCAGGGAAGGGCTTCACAGTTATAAACTTGAACCTCTCGGTCCCCACAGCCTCCAAGCAGCACAGACATGGCTGAGGGCCAGAGACGAGGGAGCTTCAAGAAGTTCAGTAAGTGGCCACGGGATAGGGGTGGGCAGGCAATGGGGTGCTCACCTGCAGAGCCCAGCAGGGAGGGGGAATGCATGACAGAGTGTGAGTGTGTGAGTGTGAGCGTGTTCTTACACGCTGCCCAGGTCACCCACACCCAGGGACGCTGGGAGGTGAGACAGGCTCTGCTCTCATTTAGAAGCTCGTCATGGTGAGGGGCTTTGGGGGTTTGCATCCCCAGGGCTGGGGGAGAGCCCAGGTGCTGTTGGCTCGGGAGCTGGGTGCTGGCACAGGGACCACTGCTGCAGCCCAGCTCTGTACTGGGTGCTGGGATGCACCCGGGGAATGCTCAAGGGAGTTTGGGGGTCTTCATGCCCCAAATCACATCCTTCAGGGTGCACAACTGTCAGTGCAAGCTGGTGTTGGGGGTGGCCAGGCCCCCCACCCCAGGGTGCTCCTGCAGCACAGCGATGGGGGTGACACAGAGGAGCCATGGTGGGAGCCGGGGAGCAGATTCCCACCAGCTTCTCTCAGAGGAAGCGCTCAGTACCCACCGAGAGCGAGCTCTGCTCTTTCTCACAGACCTTGGGTTTCCTCCAGAGCCCCAGGAGGCAGCTGCATTGGCCTTCACCCCACTTCCCAGCACTGGGCTGTGCGGGAACCGACCCTTGCTGCTGCTCTCTGCATTCCTGCCGTGATGGTGGTGCCGGAGGGAGGCCAGTCCCTCTGCTCTCCCAGGACCCCTCAACTGTCAGAACCCATGGCCCTGTCCCAGCTGGGCTTTTCCTTTGTGGTAGAGTGCTGAGATGGGGAAAGTCCCTAGTTGTTGCCTTTCCCACCTGGCCGGCAGTGGAGGATGCTCAGACCCCGAGGGGATGTATAACCCAAAGCAGTTTTGCCTTTAACCACATCCAGGTCTTGAGGTTTCTGCTGTGAAGCAGGCTTTTGGGCTGCTGCAGCCCCTTGCCTGCTCCTTTGCCCCATCTGGCTGCTGGAATGCCCTGTAGAGCCCATGGATGGTGGCAGGAGGTGGGGGTCCAACAGCTGAGCTGCCCCCAGAGACCCAGTTCCTCACCCAGCACCACCGCAGCATGCTGCTTTCTGCCTCAGCAAACTCACCGTGCCTGGAGGGGAAGAGGTTTTGCAGAGCCCCTGGGCAGCGTAAACGTTGCAAAACCCCCGGAGGCACCCAAAGCAGCAGGCAGTGAAACGCTGCCCTGCAGAGCTGCAGCCACGGGCTGCTTCGCCCATGTGCCGCCCTCCTCGTGCCAGCACCAACACCAGCCCGGGGTTGCACCGCAGCAGCACGTAGAACCGAGCTGGGCCCGAGGTGTGAAATGCAAAGCCATCTGCAGGGGTTATAAATACTTCTCTAGCAAATGCTTTGCGCTCAGCGCTTGCAGGTGGCAGCTGGGAGCTGCAGGGAGGCTGCGAGGGGCTGAGCGCTCCGCCGAGGAAGTGGGGACGTTACCTCCTGCCCGCAGCCGGTGCTGCCACGCGAGCGCAGCCAGGCCCTGCACCAATGGTTCCTGCTTCACTGCGCTGACAAGCGACACGCACGTGTAGGCACATCACATGTGGCCGGGACCCCCACCCGGCGGGGAGGTGCGGTGTGGGACATGCTTTCATCCTGGAGAGGGCAGGGGGTATGGCCCATGCAGCTGCCCCAAGGCTGCGGGGATGGGCACAGCTGCCAGCCCTGCCCAGAGGCCCCTGGGAGAAGCAGGGAGGTGGAGGGCGGGAGGAAGAGATTTGAAATAATTTCTGGCATTGTCTGCTCACCAGGGCTGGGTGTCTCTTCCTCCGACCCTACAACTGCAGTGGGGAAATGCAGCCTCTAGATTTGCCAGGGTACAGGGGATGTTTGCTCCCTGAGGGACCAGGATAGACCTCCTGGGGTCCCAGCAGAGATGCCCCGAGCAGCATCACATTACACCCCAGGCCACAGGGATGTCATGCCAGGCTGGGACTGGAAATGCAGGGTGTAAGGGGCTGACACCAGGCTGCACCTCAGGACAGTGCCCCGTGCCCACCCCAACCCAGGTCTGGGACTCCCCATCACCACACTGTGCTGGCAGTAACCTCACACCCATCTTTCCTCTCTCCTTGCCAGAGTTTTTCAAGTTCAAAGGTTTCAGGAGCCTGAGCAACATCCCCCGCTCCTTCACTCTGCGGCGCGTGTCCGTGGCCCCCAGCTTTCCCGAGAGCCTGGGGCCAGGTGTCCCTTCTCCCCACGGCTTCCTGGAGGAGCCCTTCGACAGCATCCAGGATGATCTCAACACGATGCCCAAGAGCCCCAGCCCCTACGCCCGGTCATCAGACATGTACAGCCACATGGGCACCATGCCCAGGCTGAACCTGGGCAAGGCAGGGAAGAACCTGGGCAAAGCCAAGAGTAGCCAGAGCTGCCAGGAGAAAGGGAACCCCAGTGACAAAGCCCCACGGATAGATCCACTCCCCAACCTTCAGTCCCCCGAGATGTCCAGCACCCCTGAGCCAGGTGCAGATTCACTCTCAGCCACTGGACAAGCAGAACAGGAGGAGGAAGAGGCTCAGCCTATGGACACCCTGGGCACAGCGATGGCCAGCACGGACCAGGAGCCTGTGGGGAATGTCTCCTGCCCCAGGGCAGAGGCACCAGGCTCCAGCATGGCCCAGAACCCCACGCAAACCCTGAGCCCTGACACAGCAGCAGGAGCGGACACCACCAATGGAGATCTGCCAGAAAAGGGGCAAGATCATCCTGGCAAGAGCTTTCCAGACAGGTACGGCCCGGTTGGGTTTGCTCTGCCTTTAGCTGGGAGCCCCTTTCTGCCCCTGCAGGGCAAGGGGAGAGGGTTGGGACACAGTGGGGGCCCTGCAGTGCCCCCACATCACCCGCGGTGCCAGCGGGATGCACCTGGCTGGTGGGACGGCACAGCCGGAGTGTTCTGCTCCATGGCCAGGTCAGCGGCTCCATGGGAGTGAGGTTTCCTGTGGGATTTCTGCTCCTTCCCGTTTCCGGATGGGGTGGAAACATCTCACAGCCCCGCTCAGACCCGGCGGCCCTTTGTCCTGCTGGTGGCTCTGTTCCAGTGCTGGGAAGTGCTGGGGAGAACTCAGACCTGCAACTGTCCTGGCCCCCTCCACTTCTTTTCCTCTATTCTTCCCCCCCCCCTTTCCTTATTCCCGTCCCCAGGCACCACTGCCTCTCTCAAGGCACAGGGGCAATCCCCAAAACCAGCTGCCCTGTCCCCATATCCATCAGCTGCCAGTAAACCCCCCACTCTGGGCACAAACCCCTTACTCCGAGCACAAAACTCACCCCATGGGGGAATTCAGGGGCTCAGCTCACTCAGATGAGGGTTGGATTTGGGGGGGGGGATTAACCTCAGAATCAACATGAGGGATTTTTAACCCCCAGCACATCATCTGGGCCTCCAGGCACGAGGGGTCAAATGCATCCCCAGCCCAGCAGTGTGCATGGGACTGGGGGCAATGGTGGAGGCTCCAACTACAAGTTTCTCCCCAAAATAAGGTCCCACTTTACCGCCCCTTCCCTGGCCCAACTCTCCTTTCTCCACACTCGGGTGGCCCCTGACACCCCTGTTCCTCCCCACGCCGCCCTGGGGCGGGGGGCTTCTTGCCCCAGCACTGAGAGTTTGAGAGGTCTGCATGGCCCCAGGAGTGGGGTGAGGAGGAGGAATTCGTGCCGGCAGTGGGAGCCGGGCTGTGCC